TGTGTGTGTGTGTGTGTGTGTGTGTGTGTGTGTGTGTGTGTGTGTGTGTGTGTGTGTGTGTGTGCGTGGCTGTTCTAGGCCCAGTCCTATTTGACCTTTCTATTAGGTTTTCCAGATGTATGTGCAAATGTTAATACCACTGTATATTTTGCTCCCGTTAATCATCATATCACTATTAGGAAGTGTCGGAAAGTGTCAATAGCACAAGGGATGAGAGCAAAATACTGTAGATGTAGGTTATACTGTACAAAATATGTGTTGTCAGTCAAAATTTGTCAATTCTGGGATAGTTCACTACTGATTTTAAGAAAGTTTTCTAAATGTCACATTTTAAAGCTCATCTGAAATGCTAAAAGAAACAGTAATTAATCAAACATGTCAGTTAGTGAGTCAGCAGCTTTTAGTTTTGTATTTATTTTATCTTATACTGTATTTTATTTTTATATATGTGCTTTTATTGGCTTATGTGTATTTTAAATTTGTGTGTATCATATGTTACAATTGCTATTTTTTTTACTCAAAGGAGACATATCATGTTTTAAACCCTTCTTCTTCACATTTAATTCATTTAGTTTGGGTTCTAAATAAAGTGAAACTGTAATGCTTTGGTCTAAATTCCTCCACAAGCCCCTTATTTGCCACATTATGTCTTGGATCAACTCATTTTGAGTCTGTCTTTTTAAATCGAAATGAGCCACTTCACATCCCGCCTTCCTCCAGCTTCCAAAGTGGTCCAATCCAGTTTGATAGAGGTTTGCAATTACATCGCAGCACAGAAACCTTTTACAAATTAAATTATTTACGAATAATTTAAAAGATGTCAACAGTCCATCCAGCCTTACATGTTGGAGCCAGAGTCTGACCAAGAGACAGAGGAGAATGAGGATGACAAAGTCGTAGTTTGTAAGTCCAGACCTTATTTGGCAGTTCCATTGCAAATTATTTGATGTAATAGCTCAGAAAACATAAAATAAAATAAAGAAAAACTGAATGGGTTGAAAAATATGACCCAAAAATTACATAAGATACTGTATTTTTGGAGCAATGGAAAACATAGATCCTAGAGACTGCAAGTACACAACAGAATGCATTTATCAACTAAATAAGTGGAATTTGCATGGATATGTCTCCTATATTACCATTAAAATGTCAGGGACTGCAAATAAAAGTTAGCTATTGTGTCAAAATCTGGCACATTTACAGGGTGTACCCACATTAATGTGCATAGTCACTTTAAAAAAACGAACAAATAAACTAAGAGGCCGTGGTTTCAATGTGCACCTCAGAAATAATGCAAACAACAAGCGTAGAACAAGTGGCTTACACGTTCTCAAAAAACATGGGAAAACATGTTGGTAAAGTTTATTTGCAGCTTTGATTAAACATCCAAGTAGACGTCTCCATGGTGCCAGCAATGTGCATTTTATTGTTGATGAGCAGCACTTATTTAAAGACAGGACTTCACACTTCCAGTGTAAACACACTGAACACATTTTCAAGCTGAAATTAACTTTTAGCTTTATCATTTGTATTTAAATCATTTTTATTATCCAATTTTTGAAAGTTTCAGCATTTTTGAACTACACTTTGTTCGCACTTTCATGTAAAGTGAATTTGATAAAAGCTAAATGTTTTCCTTTTTTTGTTTTTTTTGCACTCTTATTTATATTTAATTCCAAGCACATTAGCTCTATTTAATATCAGATAGAGAAATCCAATAAAARCATCTACATGGGATCTATAGGTCCACCAGTGCATGTTCTTTCTTTAATGACTTTCATGCTCTTTACTTCCTCCGAGAAGGAGTGGGACTCTTCACTCCTCTCCCTACTGCTGCCTTTGGAGGAGCGGAGCTGGGAGCAGATGGGGTGGGAGCAGCGCCGGCAGGCTGGGTCTTGGGCTGAGGAATCTCAATGGGGAGTTTAGGAGGGATGATCGTTTTAGGGGTCATAGCTGGTTTTGCCTCAGGGATTTTCTCCCCGTGGCGGTACACGCTGACCTGGAGAAAGAAGAAGATACTGTATATTTGAATCATTTCCCATTCCTGGATTTTTAGTTAAAACAACCAAGAGCAGAGCTTCAGATGCATTCATCTTTCAAACAAATGTTAAGTCTTAAGAAAATAAAAATAAAAAGTATAGTTTGGCATTTACTCCATAATATCATTTAAAGTATTGTTGTGACACAAGCCATTTTTGAACTGAGTTCCAGCTTTGTTCCACTGTGATCACTAGAAATAAATAAAATTCTGGCTGTCWGGCAATAAAAAGATTAGATTTGAGCTGCAGATGGTCAGAAAAATTCCACGGCTCTGAGTAAATCCTGTCATTTGTGTTATACAACTGTGACACTCACCAGTATATCCACAGACTCTCCTCCGTATTTGTTCTGGACAATCATTGTATATCTGCCAGAATCCTCCATGGAAACACCTTTGATGGTCAGACTAGCAAACTTGCCTTGGTCTATAGAGACCACATACTGAAAATAAATATATAAATCAAAGGTTAAACAGATGAGATGGGCAACACATGGAGTTAAGCAAGATTTAACACTTTAGAATGCCTCTTATTTGATGATTGATTTTTAACATTGATTTAGGTCGAACTCTAAATAGCAGCTTTGATTGCTATCTTCTGTGAGCCAAGTGTGAGCGTTCCTCTTACACAYGAATTGGTCAAACACGTGTTGCTCCAGGATTAAATTAAAACCAAATATATTTGAATTTCTTAATCCCACAAAAACAGAATGTGCACAGAAATTTTAAATAGAATGTTTGGGCTTTTCATTCCCTTGAACCTGAATCTAAGAGGTGAAGAGAGAGAGAAATTTTGTATATATATAATTTAGTTCCCCTCACTTATACCTGCACTGTCTCTTTGAAGGTCTGCACAGTAATAGGTTTTAATGGCTAGGCCCTTCAAGCAGAGTAATTATGTTCTTATTAAGAGAAACACTTACATTTTAATTTTCATGGGGAAAATGGCTTTAAAAGCTCATATTAATGACCATTTTTAATTAATGTGTTGATAAATTCATCAATATTTCAGAGCAATTGATTTGTTAATTTGTCACCGATTTTCTTAGTTTGAGTGACAAAAAGAAATTGTTTTACTAACTTAGTGAATTGCTAAGCAAATCAAAGAGG